GGGGGCTTGGAGTGCGGCGCTTGCTCGTGCCCGGTCTCGTGGCGGCCGTGCGCAGGGCGGGGGAGCCATGCCTGTTGCACGGGGTTGGCAAGTCGACCCCGCTCCAGGCAGCTCGGGGGCATCGCTGCAGCTTTCCTCCCCTCCCCCCATGCGGACCTGACTCGGCTCTGCAGCGGGGTGGGAAGCTGCGGTCACTGGAGCGTGCAAAGCAGAAGTGAATCTCGAGGCCGGGCCTCGTGGTCTCTGCTGATGTGCTGCAAGGTCACGTCCTGCAGGTCCGCCGTGCAGGCGCTGGGGTGACTCTGGGGCTCTTCCAGCATCGTCCCCCTGAGCCAGGCACGTGGCCAGGTCACCCCCGGGCAGGGGTTGGGCTCCCTGGGTGCAAGGGTGGTGGCTGGCACCAGAGCCTGGTGCCTCCAACATCTGCCCTGGGCGTGAGACATTTGCCGCCTACCCCAGGGGCGCTGTTCTGCATTCAGGGAGGCTGCGTGCCCAGCAGGCAGCTCTGCGCCCCAGGTCCCTGCTGCAGCACCAACAGTCCCTGGCCAGGCCAGCTTTGCCCTGCAGCCCCTTTCCCAAGGCTTGTCCTGCAGCCCAGCGGTTGGGCTGTGCACCCCTGCCTGTGGTAGCTAAATGCTGGGCACCGCCCAGCACAGCTGGGGCGCATTTCACTTGCAAACCCTCTATTTCCATGCAGGGCCAGGGCGATTTGCATCGGGCCGGAGGGACGTGGCTTCCTCCTAGGGCTCTGAGCACGCACAGGGGAACTCGCTTCTGCTGATGCCAGCACTTCGATGCGCTGCAGCCCTCCCCCCGCAGGGCTGGCGAACCCTGATGGCTCCATGTTGGGGGCACGTGTTTGCACAAGAGCGTGCATCGAATTGCACAGGGAGATGCCCATCCTAGCAGGTCCCTGGGCTGCCGCTCACATGTGCAGCTCTGCCAGGACCCAAGCGGGTGGCGGGGTGGGAACCAGGCGTCGCACTTACTGGCTCCTGCGGCTCGGGAAGGGCCCGGACTCTGGCCCGGAGCTGATTGTTTACCCGAGCTCCCTTCCCCCTGCGGGGGAGAGCGGCTGCCGCGCTCGGCCCTTGGCCGTGGCTCCAGCCCTTGGTGCACAGAGCTCCCTGCTGCCGCCTGGGTCACGTCCTGCTGCTTCCGGACGGCGGCCCTGACCTCCAGGACGGCATGTTCTGGACACAGCAGCCTCCCGGGCAAGGACGGTGTGGCTTGGGGAGGGGTCCAGCACCCCCAAAGTACTGTGCAGGCCGGGGAGATCAGCCCAGCCCAGGGGTGGGGGGCACATCGGGGGGTGAGGACGCAGGCTTGGCTGCTTGGGAGCCAGCGGCTGTTTTCAGGCAGGATCCCAGTGGGCGTGGAAGGCAGCTAATGAGAACCTGCTGTCGCTGCCCGGGGCTGAGCCGGAGCCGCTTGGTGACAAAGCACGGTCTTCATGGCCCGGCCCTGCCTGTGCCCCAGTGGCATCGGCTGACATTCGGGGTCCGGAGCCGCCCACGGCCAGGGTGATGCCTCTGTACTAATGCTCCGGCAAATCTGCCAGGCCGCGGGCGCCCTCCATACCCTGGTTCCCGCGTCTCTCAATGCTCAACAATGCCCGGGATTGTTTGCTGGGTGGGGGGAGCTTGGTATTAAAAATCGGACTTTAGGATAAAACAGAGGAGCGTCTGTGCGAGGGGCTTTCATCTCCCAGGAGCGTGCAACCCCCCCGGGGCCCGAAGCTCGCGATGCGCAGGACGTGACACGGGCCCGGCGGTTCCCGTTGACGTCAGTGGGGGGAGAAGGAGTGTTAAACAGATGCAAGCTCTGCTTTTAATCTTCAGATGGAGGCATAATTATTCCCATCTCGCGGGCAGGGCTGGGCCTGACACTTGTGGCCAGGACAAAAGGCGCTATGTGAGGAGTGCTCTGCGGCCTGCGTCAAGGCTTCCCTTGTCCCCGCCGCCCCCGAGGCAGCGCAGCGCAGTGCATGCAGCTCTGGGGGGGAGCAGGTACCCATTGGGGTGGCGACGGCCCGTGCCCGTCGCTGAAGAGAGGCGCTGGGGGTCCCTGGCATGGCAAGCTGCTCCAAGCCCCCAAGGTGGGGTCCCAGCCTGCCCGATGCTGGGGACCAGCTACGGGCTCAGCAAGGGTCATGCTGGCTTGCAGCCGTGTGTTTGGGGAGGCCAGAGACTTGGCCCCGCAGCGAGCGGCTCCTGACCCAGGTGTGTGCCTTGGGTCTCAGTGGAGGCCCCCACTTCCAGCCTCCTCAGACTTGGCGAACAATAGCCTCCTGCCCACCTGGTCCGTGCCCTTCGTGATATTCTCAACCACTCTTCTCCCCCCTCGGCCTCTCCCTGTCCAGGCTGAAGAGCCCTCGGCCTTTTGAGCCCCTCCTGGTCCAGGTCCCTGTCCCTGCAGGTGGAGGAGGCAAGGCCTTGCCCCTGAGCTATCTCTTTCTCTCCGTCTTTGCAGGGCTCTGGATTCAAGTGGAAACTCCTGAGCGAGTCCCCAGAGGAGCACAGGTACCTGCCGGCTGTGGGTCTGCCACAGGATCAGCGCGATTTCTTCTGATTTCTGTGTCCCCCTCCTGTCCCCCTTCACTGCTGCCAGCTGCCCTGGCTACTGCTCATCAGGAGCCGCACCCTGGGCCCTGCATCCTACCATGGCGGGGACGTCCCTTGCCTGCAGGCCGGGGTGCCTGTCTTTGGCTGGGCCGGTGGAGCCATGGAAGAGCCACGCGCACCCCGTGCTGTCACGGTGGGTGGCAAGGTCGGCTGGGAGCTGCAGGGCCCCCTCTCTGCCCCCCCCTAGCTGCGTCGTGGCAGGGCTGGGGCCTCCCTCCGCTGCCTCCGTGGAGCTTCAGCGCATTTGAAGCCGGTTTTAATTATAAAGGTGCCGAAAGTCTCCAACTGGCAGATGAGTCACCGCATCCAGCGCGCGCCTGGGAGACGGCGTCGCCTTGCAGCCTCTGAGCCTGCACCCCCTCACTGCCGGGAGGGGGAAGGGGGTCACGGGCAGCTGGAGCTGGGTGTCAGCGTGGCCTGGGCATGCACAGATGTGCCCCGCGTGGCCCCTCTCACCCCTGTGCTTCCCGTGGGGATGTCCCAGCCCCAAGCCCTTAGCTCCTCATGGGGCTGGGGTGCCTGGGCTGGACCCCGGGACCTCAGCCGTAGGGTGCAGGGTGTTTCCCTTCATTGGCTCCAGCTCATGGCTTCCTGGCAGGATGTGACCCAGCAGTGCCGGGGCTGTCCCAGGGTCACCCCCAGGCAGCAGTCAGTGGGCTGCCCAGGTTTCCCTGGAGCCTGGCAGGGTCCATGTGCCAGCTCCCCGCCCCTCCTCTCCGTGGTTCCCGGTGCCCGGCTGGGCCAGGGCAGCACTGTTCAGCAAGTGCTGAAGTTGGCAGCAATGTGGCAGCAGCTGCGCAGCCTGCAGGCACGGTTCGCCTCCCACCCTCCCGCTGCATTGTTTGCACCCCCAAGTAAGCCCCTGCAAAGTTCAAGGGCTGCAGGAGCCTCCCAGCTGTGTGGGGCAGCTGCCAGCTGTGTGCGAGGTGGGCGCAGGCCTGGCTCCCACGTGCTGCCCCAGGGCCGGCAGCTGGGGGGTTGCTCAGTTGCCGTTGGGGTGCGGCTGTGACTGCCCCTTCCCCCTCCTGGCCCACGCTGGGCTCTCCCAGCACCAGCGGCTCTTGCTGGGAAGTCTTGGGCTCCCGGATCCAGAGCACTGGCAGCAGGATTCACCTAGGACTCCTGGGCTCTGCTGAGCTGGGGGGGCCTTGGGCATCCCCCGGGGCTCTGAGATCGGGAGATGGCTCTGCCCCCAGGGGTGCAGATGCCCCCAGCCCCACACCTGTCGGGGAGGTCCTTCCACTCTGGGTGGGTGCGGGGGTCTCTGGCGAGTTGCTAACCAGCTCCCCTCCCCAGGCGAGCCGTCACGCTAGAGAAGAAGGAGGAGGAGGCGTTCGGGTTTGAGATCCAGGTGGGTGTTGGGGAAGCCTGTGGGGCTCAGGCCATGGGCACGGCCCCTTTGTCGCTGTCCTGGGGGCTGGGGGTGCTCAGCCCCATCCCAGAGCAAGAAGGGGAGAGGCCGGCGCGGGGCTTGGGGCTGGGCAGGGCAGAGGCCGGGCCCGGCCCTGGGCAGCTGCAGC